CATCTCATTCGGAAATCAAGGTGCCAGAGTCTGGAGGAAGACTGAGGAGAAGGAATTTCCAAAATGCCAGAAGTCCAGTATCAAGTACCCAGTCAGTGATGGTCCGGGATGCCATGTCAGCTGCTGGTGTTGGTCCACCGTGTTTTATCAAGGCCAGGGTCAATGCAGCTCTCTATCAGGAGATTTTGGAGCACTTCATGCTTCCATCTGCTGAAAAGCTTTATGGAGATGAAGATTTCATTTTTCAGCACGACCTGGCACCTGCTCTCTGTGCCAAAACCACTGGCAGATGGTTTACTGGCCGTCACTGTGCTCAATCGGCCTGCCGACTCTCCTGACCTGAACCCCACAGACAATCTGTGGGATATTGGGAAGAGAAAGTTGAGAGACGCAAGACCCAACACTGTGGATGAGCTAAAGGCTATCGAAGCATCCTGGGCCTCCATAACACCTCAGCAGGGCCACAGGCTGATGGCCTCCATGCCACGCCGCACTGAAGCAGTCATTTCTGCAAAAGGATTCCCGACCAAAACACTTTTTTTTATTGGTACGATGAAATATGCTAATTTTTTTAGATAGAAATTTTGGGTTTTTATGAGCTGTTTGCCACAATCATCTGTATTAAGACAATAAAGGACCTGAAATATTTCAGTTAGTGTGCAATGAAACTAAAATATATGAATGTTAAATTTCTATCATTACATTATGGACAATAATGAACTTTATCACAATATGCTAATATTTTGAGAAGGACATCTATCTATCTATCTATCTATCTATCTATCTATCTATCTATCTATCTATCTATCTATCTATCTATCTATCTATCTATCTATCTATCTATCTATCTATCTATCTATCTATCTATCTATCTATCTATCTATCTATCTATCTATCTATCTATCTATCTATGGACGCCGCCATCTTTCCATCTTTGGATCAAAACAAGAAGGAAACAAAGCACAACATTTATGGCTCTTAGTGGAGAATGAACCGCGGATTAGTCCGCTGACGTCACGTTGCGTCAACAGCTACCCTTACTGCGCATGTGTTAATTAAAGGGTTTTCTTTAATTAACCTTTATTTAACCAAATAAAAACCCATTGATCAATATCGCTTCACCACGTCATAATAAACAAAACACGTCAACAGAAAAAACAAAAACACACATTAATATATGAACAGATATCTGAAGGAAAAACTGTCAACTTCAGACAGAACCTGATTCAAACTGTTTCCATTCAGACAAATCAAGTCCAACTCGGTTCTGATCAAGTCAGGATCCAACTCGGTTCTGATCATGTCAGGATCCAACCTGCTGCATTTCAACAGCACTTTGTTGCTGCAGCTGCATTTTCCCGCTGACTGCGGCCAACAGATGTTGATCCTGTTTTTCATTTTCTTATGAAAACGAACATTTCGGGAAACTATTAGAACTATTAAATAATGCCTGTTACACTCACCGCTCTGAGGCCTTCAGGTCACTGATGTCCTCTTTTCTGCGACCATCAAGCTGCTAAAATGCTAACAATAACGGGGTAACCATAGCAACCACTGGCCGTTTGCGGCTCGGCTCGTGCGGACCGGATGTTGCTGTTTGTCAACAAATATCCTCCACAAGTTCATCAGTTTAATTCATGAATTATTTTCACCAACAGATTTTTTTTGTCTGACTTAGAGACTTAGACTTAGACTTGACTTTATTGATCCCTTGGGAAGACTCCCTCAGGAAATTATAGTTACCAGCAGCTCACAGGCAAAAATGTGGCACACGTCATTTAGTGCAGAATTATGACGCGTCAGTGACGTCACAGTTTGATCAAATGCCACATGAAAACAATCGGATATGATTGGAAATAACTCCGATCGGATTTGGACCCACAAGAATATTCACCTTCATCCAAACAATTATTTCAACACTTTGCTTTGTGAATTATGGTTATTTCTGTGTTTACAGTTTTACTGATATGATGTCATCAAACATCTACATTATGTACATTTATTTCAAACAGAACAAATAAACCAGTTGCTCATTTATTGGGTTACAACATATTTCTAATAACTTGTTTTAGATTATCTCGGTGTTTTATTATTTTTGTTTTTTTATATATATATTACCAATAATCTATATTTTCATGCTTGTCTATTTTTTACTATATTCTACTCTGTTTTTCTATGCAGTTTGGATTTATTACTAACTAAATTATTGACAATATTCCCATAAATTGGACATATTTTGCTCCAAATGTCTCATTCCTGCCTATAATTTGTGATGAATGGGTGAACAGGTGAAACCTGTGGCCGCTCCGCGCGCTGGAGACCAGCTCAAGATCCCGTTTGGGTGAAAACTCGGGTTCGGGTCCAAATGTGAGCAGGAAGCGCAGCCTGGGCTCCGGTCGGTCCGGTCGGTCCGGTCCGGCCCCCAGGCGGACAGGTGCCGCTCCAGATGCTGACATCTGGCCCCGCAGCCGCGCTTCCCGCAGGTGACAGTTAGGCCAGAGCTGCATGTGACGCTCAGAAACACCGAACAGAAGATGGAGCCGGGCCTGCGCGGCGCTGGCTCTGACCCGGAGCCGTCCGGCGCTCTGCGTAACGCGCTCCGTTCACCTACCTGCGGAAAACGGCGTGGTGGCGCAGCTTATCCCCGCAGCTCTCCATCAGAAGCGGAGCGCATGTTGATCGATCCCGCGGCTGTTATCTGATGAACGGCTCCGATGGGCGTGTTGAAACCTCACTTCCTCGTCTGACAGCGCAGCGGCCGCCGCGAGCAGCGCGTCAGCCTTCCGCAGACAATACCGTCCCCGAAGCGCCGCGGAGGGCCGAGGCTTCCGCGGCCCCTGCACCCACACAGGGGGGGGCCAAGTTCAAGCGCGGTCCGGGCCCGGTTGTGCTGTCTGTGTGCGTGTGAGCGTGCGTGGCGCACTCTGTTTATGGTTTCATCACAGCCCCGTTCGGTCCCCGCGGAGCGGTCCGGGACTCTGGCCTCCAGATGGGGGGTTCGGGGGGCCCCGCGGGTCTCCGGGGGACCAGCGGCAGTCTCACCTGCCGGGGTCTGCGGCTGGAAACGAGCCCGGCTGGGGGCCACCGAGTAGCGGCTGTGAGGGCCTGATCAGTCCGCTGTGTGGAGGCGATGGAGGCGGTGTGCCGAGGAAGAGCGGAGAGACAGCACCACACAGAGCCCAGGAGGACCGGAACACGCTGCTGGTGCTGCTGGACCTGCAGGAGGACAGCCGAACTACAGCCGAACTACAGCTGGACCCGAATCACTCCCAGCACAGCCAGAACCCGAACCACCGAATCAGAGCGGGAATAACCTGTTAATGAATGAGTAATAAACAGTTAAAGGGCCAGTACGCGTTTTTAACAGCTACATAGTTCTTTTTATAGAAATATAAAATCAGTAAAATGAGTAAAAAGTCTGATTTTTTCATTTAAGGCATTGAAATTGGGTCTCTGTCTCTTTAAAAACTCCTGATCTTTCTGAAGCTCTGCCTCGTTCCCAATATGGCTCCTCTAGTAACCCTTTAATCAATCAATCAATCAATCAATCAATCAATCAATCAATCAATCAATCAATCAATCAACCAAATTTAATTTGTATGGCACATTTTAGCAGCCAGGCATTTCAAAGTAATTTTATCATATAAACGTTGTTAGCAGCTCCACCAGGCGTTTGCTAATTCCTCCTGGCTAGTCAGAAGGAGCTGAGAGGGATGAAGCCCTTTGTGGTTCTTGGAATAATTTTTTGTGGAGCTGATACACATTAAAACTTCTTATTTTGGATGAGATCTTAAAAAATGTTCAGTAAAACATCTTTCAGTAAAATATCTTTTCTTTTATGAGCAACATTTTTTTTTGTAGATTAGACCAAAACATTTTCTAAACTAACACAGAAGAAAACATTCAAATCAAAAATATTTTGAAAACTTAACATCTTTTTTTTTTATGAAAATGCTGCATGTTTAAATAACAAAATGAAAATTTACACTAAAATTATTTACGTTTTCATTATTTTTAATGGGAATAATGGCCCCTGTTTTCGTTTAGTTTCAAAGTTCTGGACTTTTCTCTGGAGTTTTGCTGCTTTTCTGTCCAGTTTTAGTTTTTAGAACATTTTCAGATGAATATTTTATCATGGATAAAATTGAACAGCTTTTGGGTGAAGGTATCAGCAGGTGAGCCACCGGTGCTTCCTGATTCCCATGATGCACCTTCTCTTTCTGCTGCTTCTTTATTTGGATAGAGAAACTTTCCATAAAGGGTTCAGTTGTTTCTGTTGGTTCTGCTTTTATTTGAATAATGAACCGACAGATTTCGCCTGCTGAGTCTGGACTTTAAGTCCAGATAAAACCGAAACAAAACTTATTTCAGGATAACATTCAGTCAATTTGAATAATAATAATAATTTGTTCGTTTCTTTTATTGTTGTCAAGTAAAAGTTGCAGCTCGTCTTCTCCTTTCATATTTCCATATAAAACAACTCAGATGATTGAAATCAGGATTATTTTAAACATAGAACCATAAAGAATAAATAATCCAATCTTTCTTTCCGGGAAGTGACAAAAAACATTTGAAATATTTTATTATGACAGACTTGTATTCTCTTTTCAATCTTTATTTTCGCTGCAAAGCATTTTATGTTTCTAGAAAAAGTTCCAAAGTTGCCTTAAACTTAATATAAATTAACTTTAGGATATGAATGAACTCAATGCTGATTTGAGTTCATTCAAAAACTCCTGACATCCTGTTCATTTTAATAAAACTTAAACAAAAAGGATGTTTTTAAAACTACAAGCTAAACATTTGAAAACCTGTTCAATTATGATAATTTGAGTTTAAGAGATAAAACTTGTTTAATGGCAGAAACTGTTGAGTTTTATCTGAACATTATAAAAATAATGTCTGTAAATAAATCTTCAGTTTGACTCCTGACGAAGTGAAACCTGAGGAAAACATGGCCGCCTGGAGGAAAACGGTTTCTGCCGGCGGTTTGACTGCGCATGCGCTCTTGTGTCCGAGCGGGGTCACGTGTCAATAATCCGATGATCCTCCGACAGGTGAGCCAACAACGACCTGCAGAGACTCTGCGTCATCTAATCTGCGCCTGCGCAACCAGTCAGGTTCACCGGAAGCAAGGTCACCGGCTCTTCAAAATAAAATGCTTAAAAAAAGACCTATAAAAAGAGCTGATTTATAATACCGCTCATTGTTTTGATGGACAGGAAGTGTGAAATTAAACTGTAGAATATACAAAAATTGAGAAGCAATGAAGGAGATAAAAATGAGACCAGATAAAACAAACAGACAAAGAAATAAGAGAATAAATTGATGCCAACGAGAAGGAAGGCGACGCTGTCTCTTCCTGCATCAGCAGGTCTTATCCCGAACTCCAACATCTTTCTAACTCTACATCCAGATTTAAAGAAGAGCGGCAAAAGCAAAGGAGGCGGATCAGCAGAGGCAGACGTTACTGTGGAATATCGACTCCTGGATACGGAGCTGTCAGCGACTCATGATGGTCACTTAGCAACAGTCTTCAGTCAGAGGCCTCTTCAGACTGACTGCTAGTGGAGGTCCTCCCTGTCCACATGAATTACATCAACTTTTCATTTTCTTTTGACACAGGAGTTTTTAAATTAATTGAATATTGTTTTGGATGTTTGTTTCATCAATTTTGATATTTTGTGATATTTTCCTGATGACAAAAACTCCAACCTGACCAGAGGTTGGAGTTTTTTACATTTGATTTGCAGTTTGGCAGAGAATGCATGCTTTTATTATGAAAGTCTAAATAATACCATTTCCGGTACAGCTGGTGGTGTTTGACTGTTGTTGCCAGGGAGCCAGCTCCATAGCAACGGGATCAGGAGGGTAAAAAGTTGAAAGATTTATTTGTTTGTTTGTTTAAGGGTCACGTGGTGAGGAAGATGAGGAGGATGAAGAGTCTCCGCAGCAGGTCAGGAGTTGGACTCAAACTGAACGTTTCCGGTTAAAAATGCCTTCAACGCTGATCGTGAAGCCCAAACCGGCGGAGGCGCCGAGGAGGAGCGGAGCGGCGAGGCCGAAGAGGGGCCCAGCGGGGGGCCAGGGGCCCAAACCGAGGGCCAGGTCCTCATCCGCTGCCCCCAAACCAGCAGGAGCCAAACCCAGAACCGAGCCGGAGCGCCGCAGGGCCAGCAGCTCCGTCAGGCAGCCGGACCCCCGGGAAGGCGGGGTGTCCGGGTCTGAGGGAGCAGCGGGGCCCGGGGCCCCACGGGAGGCCCGACGGGAGGCCCGCGGTCCAGAGGTGAGCACAGCAGAGTCAGTGTGCGGTTTTATATGGGCGGTTACCCAGGGCGGCATCAGTAAGGGGAGGGGTTAGGGAACTAGAAAAGAAACAAGTCTGTTACTGACACTTTAGTGACTTTCTGTTCAGTTGTTGTTGATAACTGGGAGAAGATGTGACCTGCTTTCTGCTACAAAAAGAGAATATTGTTGCATTTTGATTGGTTGGAGGGTGGCAGGGGGCGGGGCTTAACCAGGACGCCATTCCTGCTCTGAACTCTGGATGAAAACAAAAGTTTCTTTAAAACACAGGAAATATGATCTATAATATCCTCACCTTTCTAAAGTAACGTCTTCAGTCAAAGTCATTTTATTTATTTATTTTTTGCATGAAAATTAAGAAATTTACTAATTAAATCCATATTTAACAGATTTCAACTTCTTGCCTTTTATTTCCTCTTGACATGTTTTTGGTTTTAAGTGAATCGGTTTATTTTATGAGCCTCTTGTTTAAATTCTGAATTCATGCCTTTAAAAGCCAGAAACTTTTTTCCTCCTAGATGTTTCTGTCGTCTTTCTGCTCTCTGGAAAATATTTATTATGCTCATTTTGTGATTTTAGAGCTGAAATCCAGAATAAAAAGTTTATCCTTCGGTTTGTTGAATGAATTGCTGCAGCATCATGGCTGCCTGGTTTGTGTTGGGAGACTTTTCATGCTTCCCGCTGTGAATCCTGAAATATCCGCCGCTGCTGCCAGAGGCTTCACCTCCATCTGCTGCAGGTTAATCCCTCCAGAGAAACTGGCTGAACATGGCCGCTTGCACAACAAACTCCAGAAAAGTCTGAATCAAGAAAGCAGAAAGAAAAATTCATCCTGGATCAGATTGGATATTTGATGCATCTGTGAAGAATGTTGTTTTCAGCTGCAGATGAATTGATAATTTATCATTTATCCTGCTATTTTCACCCTGGGTTTGTACCATACAGGACCTATTTTTCATTTAGCTTAACCAGTTCTGATTATTTTTTCTTCAGTGTCTTGTTTAACCGTCTCTGTGTTTCAGTCACAAGGCGTTCACCGTCATCCCTCCAAACCCAAAGAAACGGAGAGAAATACAGAAAAGTGAGTTTCTGTGCAGTTTCAGCTTCTGAGTATCACTGACAGTCTCAGTAATCTCTGCCATCTGATTGGCTGAGCAGAGGCGGAGGCGGAGCTAGCCGCTCTGGAGGAGCTGCGCCTGAGCAGAGCCATGGCCTACGTCTCCATCAACCCCAGCAGCGTCGGTGAGACACCCGAACGCCTCGCAGGCGGTGCGTTCACGGCCGCCTCTCTGACTGCGCTTTTTGCTGCGTTCGCAGGCGGCTGCATGAGTCTGGAGGAAGTGAGGCTGAAGCAGCAACAGGAAATGATGCAAGCAAGAGGAAACAGAAACAGGTGTGACACCTGGAGCATCCTGCAGGGGGCGTCACATCTGATTTACACATGCACAAAATGTCTCCTTTATCTGGTTTAAACTCAAACTCCTGCATTTCACTGTTTGTATATTAGAATATGTCAAAATGCATAAAAATGACATGACAAAAAGTAAAACTTTTCATTTAGAAACCAGTTTTAAAGCCAAATTATTTGCTTTTGGTCACTAATTTAGTATTTTATCTGATCCCCATTTCTAACTTTCTGAAATAAATATTTATAACTCTGTCAAAAACTTCTTAAATACTTCCCATGTTCCTGAAATGTGAACTTAATTTTAATGTTTACATCAGTTAGTGTGTCTGACTCTCATGGTGAAGCTGCTGAATCCATCCAGGAAGTGCAGATCTTCACTTCCTGTCCTGCTTGTGTTCCAGGTGAGGAAGCAGCTGATGGAGGAAACGCCTGTCCTGACCAGGTGACTGCACTCAGCGCCTCCTACTGGCTGCAGCTGGTAGCTCAACTCCTGCTGAACACAAGGCAAAGATTTCCATCCATCAGCTGAAATATTAGTTTGAATCTTGAAATGATTCACCTGAACATTTCTGAGTTCAATTATTACACAACAAACAACTTTCAACAGTGCAGCTGACGGTGGAACATCCCTCAGCATGATGCTGCCACCACCATACTCTGCCGTTGTTCAGGTTGTTTCCTGATGGTGGATGGAAACCTCTGATAAGAACCATTTTAAAATCTTCTTTAATCAGAAAAACCTACAACAGCTGGCGTGTTTATCGCTCTGCATAGATTATATTTTGTATAAATATGTATTTTGTGTTTGTATATAAATTCATGTTATAGAGGAAATAAAGTTTGAAAAGAGGAAACAAAACAGCAGTTTGTTGAAACGGGTTTGTTGAACCATTTAAAAAATTACTAAAGAGATGGATGGATGGATGGATGGATGGATGGATGGATGGATGGATGGATGGATGGATGGATGGATGGATGGATGGGACATAAAGCAGAACAAATTTTAAAATAAACATAACTTTTCAGAATTCTTAGAAGTTATTTTTTTGTTATTTATCCAAAACATAATTCTTGTTTTTATTCCAAGTTGAAAATGTCCAACAGTCTTTTGTCTCCACTGCTGGTCCTGCAGCAGTAGTTCTGCTTTCTACCATCAGAGGGCGCCTTCTGCCTGAATCACAGGAAGGTCTGGGTGGAGAGGATGATGATGATGATGATGATCACGCATCGCTGGAGTTAAAAGAACATTTGGTTCTTTTTAGAAAATTACATTAAAAACCTCCTAATTTAAACTTCCGGTCTCTGGGTTTTAAAATCCCTGCAGGGATTTAATGTCGCAGTTAAACTGCGGGAGTTTGAAACTGAATTTTTATTGTCGTAGTTTAAATGATTTTTTTTTAATGTTTGAGTTGTTCTCATCAGACGGAAATAACAAATTAAAGCAAACCGAGTTAAATGTCAGAGTCGTGCTTCTGCCTCCGGTTTGCATAATTTAAATGTCACGTCAGGAGAACGAAACTGCAGATCTGCGCATGCGCCAGATATCTAACAGGAACAAACACGCGGCCATGTTTGTAGTCTTTAGCTGTAAACCTTCCTGTACAGCGGATGGTGCGTTCAGAGTATCTTTGTAACGTCAGAAAGATGACACGCAGGAGTTTGTTCTGTTTTTATTATTATTTATAGACTGCAATCTGTTTTATTTTGTTTGATCATCTGATAAAGATTTTAAATAATCTCCAATCGATCTTACTGAAAACATAGAATTTAGTTTTTTATTCCAGCAAATAAATCTGCAGCCACAGATGAAATGTGATCAAAAATATCGCTGAAAATATTCTTGAAGTAAAATGGAATAAGTTCATCTCCATTGTAAACTGGTTGTATTTAATCACAGCAGAAATGAGTCAAACTTTTACTGGCTGTCCTGGCTGTAGACCGCTAATGAAATTTGTGGAGTTTTAAGTTGAGAAAAAAGAAAAATATATTTCAAGGTAAAATGTTATTATTTTCAGTATTTAAATTAAGAATTGAATTAATATACATTTTACTTATTTTTAATATTGTAGTTTTTCAAAAAGCTTCTTCTGAAATCACTGCAGTCATTAACTGTTTGTTTACGTATGTTTCCTGTTTTTAGATGCAAAATATAATTTTCAAGTTTACTTTTTCCTGCAGCAATGCAAAAAACAAGAATAATGATTATTTCTCATGCTGTCTTCTCTCTTATCTTGATATTTTGTTGGGGGTTTTATTCACATTGCATCTTAGAAGATTTATTTAATTAAGAAAACATCTGATGTTTTAATTTAGTTTTGTTTGTCTGGTTTTAATTTACAATAGCATTTATTTGATTAAGAAAGTAGCTGGAGATTAAAATCTCCTCTGATTCTATTTCTATAGGAAGACAATTAGTACCATAAAATATGTGACTTTTTTATTTCAGATGTTTTGATGTGAAGTGCTTTGAGTAGATTCATAATGTCAATGATAAAGAATGGACTGAACTGTAATAGTTTTTGTTATGACTTTTTTGCTTCATATTTTGACTTTAATTTAATTTCACTTTAATTCAGAATTTTGACTTTTCAGAAGTTAAATCAAAACCAGATTTTTATTGTTTTAATGGCCCAAATCTTCCATTCTTCTGGGTGCTATAATTCTTTAGTCTGTCTTAAAACTTTTGGATCAAACATAATTTGAGTTTGCATTATCAACCTGGTAACTGAATCAGTTTTTCTGAGACAAAATTTCAATAAAATATTATATTTCTTTAGTTTATTTCAGTCATGGACGTCCAACAGTAATCAGGACTAACTTTGGCTAGAAATAGTGGAGAACCAAATAAATTTTAAAATCATGGATATGCCAGCAAATGCCAGTTTTTAGCAGGTTCTTCCAGTTTTTCAGTAAATCTGAATTTAATTTCTTTGAACAGATTGATACCAAAACTATCTGTAGTATTTCCCTTTTACATAAGTTTTTTTTTAGAAGAAAACATATCCATTGTCTTCAGTGAGAGGCTTTTTTATATGAAAACCTTTAAAAATTGCAGTTTTTAAAGCAGTTGTTAATGCCAACAAATGTCCTATCTTTGACAAAGACACGTTGCATTTGTAACTCAAAACAAGTTATTTTAACTTCACTGATTGTAAACACTGTCTGCTACTGATTTTAGATGTTTTTCTTCAGATTTTTCCTCCAGTAAGTGGTAATTCCCGCGGTCCCTGAACGCGGCGCGGCTCATAGCTGATCTTTGTGCGAAGCGGAGCAGCAGCGGAGAACAGGCTCAGTCCGAACAGAGGAACACAGGGGAGAACAGCGACTCTGTAGGCCACAAACCCTCTCTACAGCGATTACACAGCCACGGCGACGACCCTAACATGGTAAGAATACGTTTTAAAGACCAGAAGGGAGTTTAGTGTCGCTGTTTCTGACGGGTTTAGCCAAAAGCTAACTGGCTAGTGCTAAACGGTTAGCGAACTGTTTTCCTGACTCATTATCGACGCTAAGGCTGCCATTTTACACCAGGTACTGTCTGTCCTGGCCGCTGATTTTACCTCAGGGGGACAGTATCTGTCTATAAGAAGTATCAGAAAAACTCTTGTTTATCTGAGTGGTTAATATGTGGAAACCCACGGTGTTCCGTGTCTAAAAGCCCGTCCACTCTGCGGCTAGGCTGCCGAGCTAACAGGCTAATACGAAGCAGCTAATGAGACTTAGCAGCAGTGTTGCGTAGCTGGCTCAAACTCCGACCTGAACCCCGGCTGAAGCGTAATCCCAACTTTAATTGGTTAAATATAAACTGTGTGGCTCCAGAGTTTATTTCCGGTGGCTCGTCGTGACCGGGGGAGCCTGACTTTAACAAGGGAAGCCGTCGGCCCGCTGGCGCTTTTTCAGGGTCCTGGAGATCCTGGAAAAGCTTGAAATCCAAAACCTGACAGACAGGAGATGTGGCCAGATATTCCCGAACCTCTGGGCTGGTTCTGCCCACTGATCCCTGCTGATCTGGTTGGAAAACAACAGAACATCAACGGGGAGACGAATGATCCTGGAGGCCAGTTGGCACCAGGAACTGCTCAGCTGTTTTTTCTTTATTTTCTTTATTTATTTATGATCCAACCTAAAATCTCCAAACTGCTTTTGAACATAAACTAATGCTCAAGTTTTTTCCTTCCTCTATTTCTATTTGATTTAACTTGTAAAGTGTTAAAGTGAGAGAAAATCTAGACGACTTGAGTCACTGAAAATATATTTTAATACTTTTATCTTAAAACAGTAATTTAAAAAGCAATGTGTAGCTTTTAAATGATGCTAAGATGATATGGTTAAACATGAAGACAGCTGCAGTATTTCAAACGTGGGATAGTTGATCTTTATGAATTTACATTGAAACAAGATCTTTTTTTAAATAAACTAATTCTTATGAAAAATGTACATTGGCATGATATTTCCTATCTGTATTAAATGTTGTCTTTTTATTGATTATAATAAATGTCAGTTATTCGACTCATAATTTTCTGTTTATTTAACCCCTGAATCTTCAAATTAAGTAACTAAACACTTTTTTATCTTTATGTTCCCAAATATGACATCTTGTAAAAGTGTAAAAATATATTTTTCATTTCTGTTCATCAAATCTTTTCAGAACTTCAGAACTGTCCATAGACATAATGGTTTTCATATATTTAATATCTTTTAACTTTTATGCACATGTTTGTTTAAGGGCAAAATTCTGCCATATTTCCAGCATGAATATTTTTATGTGTTACAGCCTGAACTAGGTCAACAAATAACATTGATTTTGAGACATTATTATATTTCTTTGGAGGTTTGGGAGTTAAAAAAAATACTTTTTACTTTAGGTCCCAAAATAGTACAAAGCTATACAGTTGCAATAAATTCAAAATTTTTCTTTGTTGCATTTTTATTTTTAACATCAACAATTTAGTTTAGTTCTACAATTTAATATATTAAGATTTAATATTTAATGGAAAACAAACTTTCTGCAGGATAATTTCTTTATGCAACAAATTCATATTTTTGCAGAGACATTTTTGAATTATATTCATAGATTTGGTTATTTTATAAAGAAAATACAATAATCTTGATATAAATCAATAATGTTTTTTGTCAGACCAACTTTTAACAATAATCACCAGAAGTCTTTTAACCAGGCAAGCTGATCTCCTTTTGACGGGTTTTATAAACTCTGGCTTATTTTTAAACTGTTAAAAATTGAGAGGTTTTGAAATGTAATAGATGAAATGGATCCATTTGCCCTTTGGCCCGTTTCGGACACCAGTTTCTTCCCTTCGTTCTTCTCGCATGTAAATAAATGAACCACTTCATGTTCACACTGGAGCTCCAGTTTTTAATAGCAGACTTTAATAAAAACACTCAATCTCACATTTAGATCTGTATTTGGTCATTGAGACAACATTTGTTTTCCCTGCATGGATCAGTCGACTTGTGGAAACAACAGACTATGTCCAGAAATCAAAGCCAAACCCTTTGGCTGATCAATAATATGATTGTGCTCATATTACCACATTTCCTCAGACTTTAACAGATCAGAATATCATTTTGAAGCGAACTCAGACACAGGTTTGGTTCTGATGAGGCCCGATGGATGAAATGTAAAGTTAGTAGTTTAACACCAAAACACAACAAACCATGTCGATTTAAACTGAAGTTTGACTTGTTGATATAAGTTTAGTTAGATGTTTGTCACCTGGAAGTTTTATATTCATATTTTGGCTCAATTGTGGAGAAACTGTAAAATAATTTCTGCCAGGTCAAATGTCATTAATTCCTCTTTTAAAAGAAAAAAAGGTTTTTCTG